TTCCCAACTGGAGGAGCAGAAGAACATAATGGACATGAGGAGGTGGCCACCTCACTCACAGAGGGCATCTCTGAAGACATTTCAGGCTCATCATTCATGGGCACTCCATTGACAGAGCCGTTCTTGACCACGGCTCACCCTCTGCCCGTCCTGCCCACCGAAAGCGCCAGCCTCGGAGCAGGTGCGACCATTACAGGTAACCCCGTTGGCTGTACCGCCTTGGCTCTCATGGCAGCCATTTTGGCTGAACTTCCACACTAAGCCCTGCCCCACGACTAACGACGTCCTTCCTGAGCTGTGCTTTCTTGTTTGTATATGTCTTTCTCTCTCTCTCTCTTTTTCCTCCTTCCTCATCACCTGAATCGGGGAAGGCAAAGGAACCGGAGAAGCACACGTTTTGTCAAACAAACAAACAAACAAACAAAATTAGTTCTAAGAGAGTGCATGTTCTTTTAATCTCTCCTACTTCTGTGAAGTGTTTTAACAACTGTTTTTATGAAAAAACAAAACCTGTTGACAAGAATAGTGCTGCTCATAAGTCATTGTAATGAGGGGACTAATAAAAAAAAAGAAAGAATTAAAAGGTTTCTAGAAGAAAACAACTTGGCTGGATGTGTGCTTCCCGCTGTGTGTGTGTGTGTCTCCTGTTGTCTTCGCTTTCCCTCATGTTCTAGTCTATCCTCCTTCCCCCCCCCCCCCCTTCCTTAACCAACAAATGTCTCTAATGTCAGGTCCAGCTCTACACATACCTTTGGGTCACCTTCTTGCCAGTGATGCATCCAGATTTTGGAATGGGGGTGCTTCTTGTGATGACGTTGAGGGCTCACTCTCTCCCTGCCTCAAAGCCCTTTATGAGCTGAGCCCACCACAACCCTGCTGAAGTTTGGCCCTGGCTTAGAACAAACATGCTGCTGTCAGCCAACCCTCTTTGCTGATAAACCCTCCTTTCCTAACTAATCTGTCCTTGCAAGAAGGGAACCAGTGGCAGAAAGGATCATGACAGAGGCCACATCAGGTTTTAAGATGGACACGCCTCGTCATGTTAGGGATGCCAGCCTCCTGGTGGGGCCTGGGGGTCCCCTGGAATTCCAGTACCCTTCCAACAGGAATCACAGCTGATCTCCAGACTACAGCGATCAATTCCCCTGGAGGAAATGGATGCTTTGGAGGATGGGCTCTGTGGCCTTGTAGCCCACTGCTAGAGTTGCCAGGCCCCTCCTGGCCACCAGCAAGGGATGGGGTAGGGTTGCCAGATCCAGGTTGGGAAACTCCTGGAGATTTGGGGGTGGAGCCTATGGAAGGACAGGGACCTCAGTGGGGCACAATGCCATAGAGTACACCGTCCAAACTATCCATTTTCTCCAGGGAAATGGGTCTCTGTAGTCTGGAGATATGCTGTAATTCCAGGGAATCCCCAGGTCCCACCTGGAGGCTGACATCCCTACGAGGTCCCTGTCTTCCCCAAGCTTCACCCCCAAATCTCCAGGAGATTCCTAACCTGGAGCTGGCAATCCCCCCCCCCCTCCAGTAGCCAGGGGGACCTGGCAACCCTAGGTCATGAACAAGAAAACTTCCATAATGGGCTGCATGGGAACTATAGCTTTCAGTTCACTGGACTGTGAGGCAGTGGAAAATACAGTTGTCATGTCTGGGGACTTCAGGACCACCCCTCCCTTGACAAAGATAAAGGGGGGAGGAAGAAGGTAGAGAGGGAAGCTACAGAGGAAGCAGCAGCTCCTTCATGTGACCATCTCTTTTAATCCAGAAGAGATCTTCCTGGGGACCAGTGGCCTGCTTGTGAATAAATGTCTACTTGCTGATCAAGGCAAGGGAGGCAGGAAACAGGTGCAGCTGGAAAGCAACATATAGAAGGGAGAGGAAGGGGGAGGGCAGGAACTTTCTCTGGTTTAAGAGATGTGAAGGCCGGGGGGGGCAGAAAATTCAGGTCCCATCCTCCCCCTTTTTAATGAAATCTTTTAATGAAATTTGGGGGGATACTGGGGGGGAACTCCTATGCGATATTTTCTCTTTTAGAATGAGCAAAATGCTTTCAAAGACAAGGTGGGCATGCTGTAGACATATCCAGTTAGCCAAGATGCATTTCTGCACCTAGAAGGGTACCAGATCTTCATGAGGGGTACATGCAGGGCTTTCATTGCTTCTCAACAGATGCATGTTTTCATGCTGTCCTTTGGACCTGATGTGGTTGACTTTTCACCTCTCCCTCAAATCACAGTGACACATTTATCCACAGACTGGGTACAAAGTAGAACAAATGTAGAGTCCAGTGGCACCTTTAAGACCAACAATACTTTATTCAATGTATGAGCTTTCCTGTGCAAATGAAAGCTTATACCTTGAATAGAACTTTGTTGGTCTTAAAGGTGCCACTGGACTCTAAATGTGTTCTGCTGCTTCAGACCAACACGGCTGACCGTCTGGGTACAAAATAGTTTATTGGCCTATCTTACAAGAGGAAGAAAAAAGATCAGAACAAGGTGGGGGCAGAAACTGCAACAATGCCTCAGAGGAAAACTGAAAGTGTCATTGAGAACTCAGCTCTCTCTAACCAGACAGCAAAAATTAAGGTACTTGCCCTAAGACAGCATTGGGCGCATCAACTTGCAGTTTTTTCCCCTCAAGTACTGGGTATACTTGGAATTTTGCTTGTACAAAACTGAAGCATTGATAACTCTTAAATTCCATTAATGTGTCGAAGATTGCAATTTCATATGCTAACTAAGTTATAAATGGTGCATTTTATGTTGTTAAAGCAGTAAAAGTAGGTTTAATAGGACAGTAAGTATTGCGGAGCTGCGGTGGCTCAAGTGGTTAAGACGCTGAACTGCAGGCTGTGGAAGGTCAGTAGTTCAGCAGTTCGAGACCTGAGTGTGCCGCATGACGGAGTGAGCTCCCGTCTCTAGTTCCAGCTCCTGCCAACCTAGCAGTTCGAAAGCAAGAAATTGCAAGTAGATAAATAGGTACCACTTCGGTGGGAAGGTAACAGCGTTCTGTGCCCCTTGGTGTTTAGTCATACCGGCCACATGACTATGGAAACGTCTTCGGACAGTGCTGGCTCTTCGGCTTTGAAACGATGAGCACCGCAACCCTAGAGTCGGATTCGACTGGCTTTCGAGCAAGGGAGCCTTTACCTTTAAGTCTTGTGGGTATTTCCGTTTTTCTCAACATTTTGTATTTTTGCTCGGGAAAATGAAAAAGTTTTTATTCCCCACCGCTTCAAAATTTCTGGAAATTTTACATCTCTAGCCTGGCTGCTGTCCACTGATTTGCCCTTTTTCCCTTCTGCACACAATACACCTCAAAGACCAACAGAAGGTCCTGAGCTTATGAGGGTGCTGCTGGTTCATCCTTCAGACAAGCCCATGGAAAGTCCTCTTGGTAATGCTACCATTACTTTCCTAAAGTACTTTTGGGGAAACATTTAGACATTTACTGAGTGCTGTGTAAGAGCTCGGGATAACTGAGCGACTTATGAGGTGAGCTGTGGGGAACTCTTCATTGCTAGTTCTCACACTGTATTGTGCTTAACTGGTGTGGTTAGTCCAGTCACCATTAGTTAGCAGAGTGCTTAAATAAAGCTACAAACACAGGAGCGTCACTTTACAAAGTTACTCAGAGCCATGTTGCAAGTTTAGAAGAGAAATACTTCTCCTTCTATTTTGAGAAGTACACTTTGGATAGGAAAGAATAGGGACATGATAGAGTACTAACCTACAAGCTAAAGGATGGAAGCAGATGGCAAGAGGCCCATCTGCCTCATGGTGCCAAGAGAGGACCGCATGTCTCTCTTTTGGTGCGTGCAGGCGGAGAGCTCGTCTTCATGTGAGTGAGAGAATGGATGGAAGGGGAAATCAGTCCCTGAGAACACAATGTGCGTTTTGAAGCGGACAATGGAAGAAGAGTAAAGACAGGAAGAAAGGTCATTGTGCCTATCTAGCTATCTAGCCTTTCTTGCCACTCAGCCTGGAGGTCTGAGGCAGGGCTCATCGTATCTGGAACTTCCAACACACTAATGGAGTCTTCACTGAGAGAACAGATAGATGTTAACACATGGAATGGAGGGGCCAGGGGGGAGACAGACTCTCTGTGTTCCATTCAAATCTACCTCTTCCTTTCAGTGGACAAACTTGGGGAAGGGGGTGAATGCTTCTGTGTGTTTGCAATGGAAGTTGCTGGGGTACAGAGCTGACTGACTAGTTCCCACTCCCCCTGTGATATCATTTTTTAAAACCCTCACCTTTCATCTCTAAAATGCCCTTTGAAAGATGTCATTGTACCTTTTTTTTTTTTAGTAAGGTGACCAATGAATGAATGGTTCAATGCTTGACTATTCATTTGGTGCTTTTTAAACATTAAGAGGACAAGGTGAGTAATTGACCTGAAATAGTCCAGGAAGGACAAGACTGATGACTGAGCCAACTTGCTTTGAGTTGGTGTGCATGTGTGTTACTTCAGGTGTGAAGCCAGGAGAAAGGTGGACTCACCATGCCACTAAAGAATGAGCTTTCTCTTTTTGTATATCTTCATGCATCAGGG